AATTTTTCTTAAATTTTTGAGAATTTTTGAATTTTTGAACGATTTTCTATTAAAAGATGAAGTTAGGTGTTTTATCACAGAAGATAGGTGTTTTATCAAATGAAATTTTTAATTTTGTATATTGTATGACAAAGAGTTCGACTTCAGTCAACGTGACAACCAAACCTCGACTCATTCGCTCATTTCGATAATAAATTAATACTGGTGCGTGCCTAGGGTTAAATACACCACTTTTCTGCCTTTTGGCATCAGCAGTCTTACTAATTTAAAACAATTCAGGGTCCTCGCTATCAAATAAACTATTTCACGAGCGATTTCGCTTCTCATACAAAGCAAATGCAGAAAGGGTTTTGATTTTTGACTTTGTAAAAATATCTGAATCCTGAAATTTCGAGGATAATGTCGCGAGCCACTGAAAAATATCGTAATCTTTTGTAATTTGAAATTTGAAATAGCTTCAAAAGTATTAGCGGATACCTTTGAGGAATATTGTAGATTTCGCTATTCAGGGATTAAAGTAGTTACTTTCTCAGGCCATTTAAAAACTGTGAACATGGAGGGAATGAGAAATTTTCTGTGTTCTCATGGCCTTCTTAGTTGCTGCTGTTTCCGGTTGACACGCAATCTTCCAGCTCGGGGCATGAACACAGCTCTGTGGGAAAATGAACTGTAAAAAGTGTTTCGAGTATAACTGAATTTGTTTCTTGGATATCTTTGTTTAGTGCTTGTCAAAATCAACATCATTATCGCAGGTGGTTACTCTATCTTACATCCAGAATGACACATACGCACACGATAATTGTGGTATCGAATTTCAGGATTGCTGACATTTCATTGCAGCTGTTACCACTGCAGCATCACCAATACTGCTGCTAATATTAGCACATTACTGCTACTTACTCTCTACTCGTTTTCTTCCGCTATACATAACCAGTATTTTCACTAATTATAATATTTTTGTTTAGTGCGGCAAAATGTCGAAATCAGTAGTGCGAACATTCAGTATTTATATACTGCTCTGGCTACTCTCAATCGTTGCATACTGCTCAGCTACTAGAGTTAGTTTAGAACTATTTTGTTATTAAAAGTTAAAAAAATGCCACAAGTCGTTTTTTGGCATAATTTATGAAACGCAAAAATGCATACTTTCATAAGATTTGACTAGTGACATTAACAAGAGATTGCTATGTCAAATCTTGCACAGAAAATTTTGACCATTCCTAGTATTAAGAACCGGGGAAAAAACTGATGCAGCAAAAATGATCGAACTGCCAAAACAACCACTTGCTGGCAAGGCTGTCAGTAGCTCCATGATTTTCAGAGCAATTACAGCTCATTATTTTGTAAAGAAGGCATGATTTCTCTGATTTTATAGCTCCTTTCGTCTCACTTTACCCCAAATTTGGATGTGAAATGACTCAAGCCTATATACTCAAAGGTCCAAAAACTGCTTTTGGATTTTCGACTGTGCACCTAGCACCAAATTAAGATACAGCTCTTTTAGCTTCTACCGTTTGCTGTTCTGGAGTTGAATTATTAATTCAAACAAGTACATAAGCATGATTTTCCAAAAATGCATATTTGAGGTTTGTGTAGAACACAGAAAACATAAACACGTGTAATTCAAAACGCGTTTGCAGGGTCGCAACAACTTTCGCGAGTTCGGCGACGAGCGTACCAGCATTGCTGACGACGGTCCACAACGATGGTACTTTGCGGAATCGCCGTTTATGATCGCAAAAAAGCAAATGAGCGAACGTGATATTAATTCTTTGCTGAGAAACGCATGGCTTGGATAATTTGTTCTGAAATCCGGAAACAATAATTTTCAGTTACCCTCGGGTTTCTATGTTATTTTGAGAACCCAGATCACTGGACATTCTTTTTAGGACAGAGTTTTCATCCATTCCATTTCCATGTTCCCTGGAGTTAACTTTAGAAATGCATGAAAATCAATCAAACATAAGAATCATAACGCAGTTCCACGCATCTCCAAAAAATTATTTTGGAGTTTTGAAAGTTAACGAAAACTGAGATGTTTACTTGAAAAATGACCTGCATTTTGTTCGGATAACTTTTGGCTGGTGAAGGCAAGAAGGAAGTTTAATACGGGTTCTTCCTTTGGATCAGATCCGGAGGGAGTGGTGCGTTAACAGTTTTGTTTATAGTAACCTTACCAAAAAAGAGAATCGGACTTAATGTGCATTAATTTGGTATGCTAAGAGAGGCATATAACGCAAGGATTTGCATCGGAAATCAAAAAAAA